CGCCGCCGGCATTTTGTTGGGAGCCAGAGGGTTGGTCCGTGCGAGCTCCTGAACCTCAGCCTCTGCCACACCCCCGACCGCCATAGCCTCCTCGGTGACCCTACTGTCGCTGGATGTATTGGCCGAGGTGACCTGCCTGTACGAGCTCTTCGATACGATCCGAAGCGTGCGACACTCCTCCGTGGTGTGATCGTGGTTCCTGTGGTACCGACAGTGCTTGGACTTCTCGGCGCTGTTGGGAGTGTGACCTGGTGGTGGAAGCCCGAGTAGGTTGTTGTTGCTGGCTTCTTCCAGGATGTGGACTCTGGGTGCGTTCAGGGGCGTGTGGAAGTCATACCTCCCCCCTCTGTTTGCCCGGGCCGACTTCTTGAACTGGCTGTCATTGTTGACTTTGACCTTATCGTTGTGCCCCTGCTCTGGCTTCGCTGGTCCTTTTCCGCGAACCTGATCACGGAAGGCGGAGAGTTCCTCCATCTGAATGTAACCTGCAGCGCGGGCGCAGAGCTCTAACCGACTAGCCTATGTTTTAAGTGCTTTCCTTTGCATGTTTTATAGCTTTAGTAGTATAATTAATTAGGACTTTATCTTTACCAATTTGTTGCGTTAGAAGGCTACATTGCTTACTAAGGGTCCGTGCACACACACACTTTAGTCTTGTGAAAATTTTTTTGTGAGAAAAGTTGAAAAGACTTCGTGATTTCTACTTGAAAAGACTTGGTTTTTAAGTGATTCTTAGTAATCCACCTCCCTTGATAGTTCACTTTGTGCACTTAGGCCTTTTCATACCAATCTTGCACCTTGAAAACCTTTTTGTGAAAACCTTTTATCACTCACTCTTTTTGAAAACCTTTTTCAACCTTATTTTTGAAAACAAATTTGTGAAAACATTTTCTTGATCAAAGATGAGTGATCATTCTAGTGTACATGGTCATAACTCTTGTAGTACTAGGTCTAGTGTTAGGGATGAACTTAGGCAACTAAAAGAGTACCTAAGAAAAAAAAAGAGGAAAATATAAAGAGAGAAGAAGAGTTAAGAAAAAGGGGAAAAGAAAATGAGAAAAATAATAAAGAAATAAAAAGGTTGCTTGCTAGGTTAGTTGTGGGAGGAGAGGCTAGTGGTTCAAGACCAAGAGTCTCTTCCCCTAAGTCCTCAAAGGGCAAGGGGCATATGATACCTTCAATTGTTCATGAGGAGGAAGGGAATCATACCCAACCTCCAAGTGATATCTTCTATAGTAGTCATCACAATGATGATTACTATCAAAGACCCCCAAGGCAACATAGACGTAGGGAGTCTTCCAATAGGGAACCCAACATCACTCTTCCCCCATTCCATGGCAAAGACAATGTTGAAACTTATTTGGATTGGGAAATGAAAGTAGAACAATTATTTTCTTCCCATGGAGTGAGTGAAGAGAGAAAGGTTTCATTGGCAACCCTTAGCTTCCAAGGGCATGCCATGTATTGGTGGACCTCCTTAGAAAAATAAAGGAGAATAAATCATGAGCCTCCAATCCAATATTGGAATGAGCTCCGTAGTGCCTTGAGAAGGTGATGGAATCATGCCTAGAAAGGCAAGAGGTGACATATTGAAGGAGCCAAGAGGAGTTGGCTAGATATGAAGGTTTGGGCCAGTCAGGGCCCAATGGGCCTGATGGGCCTGGGAAGGCCCAAGTTGAACTTTTCATGGGCCATATTTTGTTATAGCTATTTTCATATGTTTTGTATACATCATGTTAGTATAGGTATCATATATTTTGGTCTTGTATTTTGGACCACATAGAGTAGCATTTTAGGTTTTAGGCTTGTTGGGCCTAGTTTTGGGCTTCATGGGCCTTTGGGCTTTTGGTACCCAATATTGGGCTCATTTTCATTCTTGTAATTTTTCCTTTCCATTGTA